CAGCAGGCCTGGGCGGGGGGCGGAGCCGGGGATTGGGGGGATATGATGCGCCCCTTGCCCAGGCCTGAAGCCTGGGTCAGAGGTGTCAGGCTTGGGCGGGGGATGGAGCAAGCGATCAGAGGGAGATGGGAGTCCCCTGCCCAGGCATGATTCCTGGGCCAGAGGCATCAGGCCTGGGCGAGGGTCAGAGCCGGTGATGGGGGGAGAGGAGGGTCCCTGCCCAGGCCTGAATCCTGGGCCAGAGGCATCAGGCCTGGGCCAGGGGCAGAGCCAGCAATCAGGGGGGTCTGGGGTCCCCTGCCCAGGCCTGACGCCTGGGCCAGAGGTATCAGGCCTGGGATGGGGGCAGAACCAGTGATGGGGGGAAATGAGGGTCCCCTGCCCAGGCCTGACGCCTCTGTCAGGCAAGGGGCTCTGGCCAAGGCATCGGCTTGGGCAAGGGGCCGATCCTGTGATTGGAGGGTGATGGGGGTCAACGCCTGAGGGCTCCCAGTATGTGAGGGGGCAGGCTGAGCTGAGGGACACCCCCCCCCACACACACACACACACCCAGTGCACGAATTTTGTGCACCGGGCCCCTAGTCTATATATATAAAAGCCTAAATGACCATCGCAACCGAACAGATGACCAAACAGGCTGTGTGGGGCAACCAGGCTGGCAGGGGGCTTAGTGAGGGGCAACCAAACAACTGAGCAGCAAACTGTGTGGGGCGACTAGGCCTGCAGGGAGGTTAGTGAGGGACGACCAAACGACTGAGCAGCAGGATGCATGGGGCAACCAGACTAGCAAGGGGGGGCAGTGAGGGGTGACTAGGCCAGCAGAGGTGGGCAGTGAGAAGTGACCAGGCTGGCAGGGGAGAGGGGCAGTTGGGGGCAACTAGGCTGGCTAGGTGGGGCAGTTAGAGGTGACCAGGCAAGCGGGGGGGGGCAGTTAGGGCAGTTAGGGCAGGCAGGTGAACATTTAGGAGCCAGTGGTCCCGGATTGTGAGAGTGATGTCCTGGAGATTGGGCCTAAACCGGCAGTTGGACATCCCCCAAAGGGTCCCAGATTAGAGAGGGTGCAGGCTGGACTGAGGGGACTGTCCAGTCCCATGCACGAATTTTGTGCACTGGGTCTCTATTTTATTGATATTTACAGAAGACTTCCTTACTTCCTTGATGTTTTATGCAAGACACATCACATTGTACACATGTACTTTGCATCATTTCAATTTTGTAAGAATAAAAGTTAAGTATAAGTCTGTGGAATAAATTTTTGAAGCTTTAAATAAATTACCTGTGGTAAATAGAATGCCCCCCTTCAAGGATGCCCATGAATTCTTAGAACCTGTTAATATGTTACATTACATGGCAATAGAGAGTTTCCGATGTAATTAAGGTCACAGCCTTTAAAATAGGGAGACTATCCTTGATTATCTAGACAGACCCTGAGTGATCACATGAACTCTTACAAGGAGAGATCTTTCTCTGACTAGTCAGGAAAGATGCTGCGGAGGGGAAGAGAGATTTGAAGGGCGAGGGAATCTTGACCCATTCTTGATGGTGGGGTCCCATGTGGAAAGCATAAGAAGGATGGGCAGCCTGTAGGAGCAAAGACCAGTGCCCAAATGACAGCTGACAAGGAAAGCTGATCCCAATCCTATACTCCCAAGGAGCTAAATTTGGCCAGCCACTGAATGAGTGTGGAAACAGACTCATCCTCAGAGCCTCCAGGCAATAACTCTGTCCAACCAGAATCAGGGTTTCAACCTTGATATATTGAGCAGAGAATCCATCTGAGCCACTATGCTCTGAATTCTGACCTACAGAGCTATGAATAAATAAATACAGGTGTGTTCTTTTAAGCTACTGTTTGTAATAGTGTGCTATGGCAGCAATAAAAATTAATATATTACCAAATATCAGTATATTAAATTCCAATATTCTATGGTTCTGAACTACAATAACCACTAGAACAATCAATTAAAACTGTACATTCCCAGAACCAATTTCTATTCTACTACCAAATGCTATCCTATTAATAAAAGCCTATGTGGTTGTCAGATCCTCATCTAGGATGTCCTCATGCCGCAACAAGCTATCACCAGGAGGCTGTGTGTGCACTAGGCGCAAGCGGATGGACGGGGCTGTGTGCGAGTGTGGGTGGGTGGGGCTTTGATGCTGCATGCGTGGCGCAGAGGCGGGGCAGCGGCTCCAGCCTATCTTTTTGGGGAAATCCATCAAGGAGCCCCAGATGGGTGGGCAGGGCGATCGATTATGGGGCTCCTGCACTGTGAAAGGGCACAGGCCAGGCTGGGGGACCCCCAACCCGTGCACAAATTTCATGCACCAGGCCTCTAACTTTTTATAATAAATAGACGATTGCTTCTCATAATTACTGGATACTTCTTAAAATGTTATCTAGGAACAATACACCTATTTCTAAGTAATTATCCTTTCCAACATTTACAACTTTAGCATTCATTTTTAAAAGGCAATAGATAACACTTTGTCAAGTCTTTATAAAATTGTTTTACCAGTTTCATACAGTTCACTTTAGGTGTACCTCTCCTTCATAATATGTTCAATATATTTTATTAGATTCATATTTTATATAACCGTATCTTAGTCACAGTAACAAAAGTCAGTGATCATTAATAGAGTTGAATAGAGTAGAGTTTTGTAAATCAATGTTTACAAAAATGTGATCATTAATAGAGTAGAGTTTTGTAAATCAATGTTTACAAAAATGTGAGAACATGATGATGCCACATCTCTACAGGTCTCAGAAGTACAAAGAATTCTAAGGCAAAAGTCACTCATAACACACTTCAGGATATTTCAACTTAGACCGGCCACAACCAGTGCTTTCAAATTACAACAATGGCAACAAAATGAGTTTTTCCAGGGGCTCTACACCTACTATAAAATCTAGATTTGGAACATGGACACTTACTTTTTCTGAGTTCGCTCAGCCAGCCTTGCAATCTCAATAGCTGCCTTCCTTGTTTCAAAATCTTCCCTTTTCACCACCTCTCCAGTCCCTCGGTAGCCCAGCTCCACCAGCTGGCGGGCCAGGCCTTCATCCTACAGAGAATACCAATTGTTAGATTTGTAGGAGAATTAGACATCTTATTTTATCCAGTGCATACTGATTAACTGTTTTAAATGAAATATCTAATGTATCACTTCAAAATGATATAAGATCTATTAGATATGAAAAATTAGAATTCTAACAATACTGTATTTTTATAAACATCTGATTTGTCATCCCTTTCCCACAGATGTAAAATGAAAAATAAATCAATCACCAAGTTTTCTCAAAGGGATTAGAAGACAAAAGTCAGTTGTGTTTTTAATCAATTTATGAGAACAGCTGTAGATAATTAATAGAGAATCTTTAAAACAATAAAATTAGAGACAATAGTGCTCATACAAAAAAGACTTAAAAAAAAAACAATCGCACAGAAACAGAATTGGGTTGCTTTCAGAAAATTCAACATTTCAGAGACTTGCTTCCTTGAAGTAAATTAACTGATGACACAGGGCATTATGACTTCAAACACAAAATAAAGAGCAGATGAATTTCCTATTTAAATAAAAAGATATTGTTTCCATATAATGTTGGCACCCATAAAAACAGAAAAGTAGAAACACAAGATGACCACAAAAGGCTTCAAATTAGAAAAAAAAAATTTCTCACAATACGTTGGTCCTTTATATTTTAGTTACTTTGAGAACTGTCTCACACATATTTGTCACTTGCATAGCATACTAAAACATATTGTTTCTCATAAGTTGAAGAGGTGTCAATTTATCTGAAGTTACTAATATAAAGACTAAAGTAGCCCTGGCCAGTGTGGTTCAGTTGGTTGGAGTTGGAAAGGAACCCTTCAGTGCATAGGTTCCTTTCTTGGTCAGGGCACATATCCAGGTTGTGGGGTTTGATCCCCAGGATCCTCAGTCTATCCCTAGTCCAGGCAGAGACAACCAATCAATGTTTCTTTCTCTTTCTCTCCCCCTCTCTCGTTTTCCCCCCCTCTTTCTCAAAAATCAGTTAAAACATATCCTTGGGTAAGGATTAAAAAATTAAAAAGACTAAAGTATTACATTAAAATATGTATAATGTAATAATAGTCCTTATATGATCATCTTAATTAAATATAAAATACCTAAAATACAGTGAAAACAGGATATATATCATTGCTAAAGACCCTTACTTAATACATCACTGTTGAATGCAAGAACTGTCAAATAGGATTAAATGAAAAAGTATAGCATGCATGGCTAATAATCTATTCAACCCATAATGGCGATTTTAAAGTTCAAATTATTGGAGCACCTAACCGGTTTGGCTCAGCGGATAGAGCGTCAGCCTGCGGACTGAAGGGTCCCAGGTTCGATTCCGGCCAAGGGCATGTACCTGGGTTGCGGGCACATCCCCAGTAGGGAGTGTGCAGGAGGCAGCTGATCGATGTTTCAAATTATTGGAGCAAAACCAAAAAAATATATACAGTGGGGCCTTGACTTACGAGTTTAATTCATTCTGAGACCGAGCTTGTTAAGGGGCTCATTAAGGAGCTCCTTAACTCAAATTACTCTATCAAATCAATGTAAAAAATCGGCGGAGAGACAGCTGGTATCTCAAAAAACTCCTTAGTCGGGACACTCGTAAGTCAAGGCCCCACTGTACTATCAACCTAGAAAATTGCTACTTTTCTTTGCTAAACATTAAAAGCAAATACTACACTCTGTGTAGCAATGTGGATACATTTGCCACGCTAATATAATGCAAAGCACCAGGCCTTGTCCAGGCTGTTTGCCTTCTTTCTGACTTGTTCCCCTGCCTACTATATTTGCCTCCCTAGTCCCTTCAGTGTGAACCACAAAACTGGGCAAATGTCTCCACCTAGTGGAATTCATATTTAATAGAAAAAGCACTTAAATATGAATGCCACAACACAAAATTTTGATGATTTGTGTGCAAATTTTCTTAAATATATTACCAAAAGTGAGTTTATGGGAAGAACTCAGCTCTGTGAGACTCTGAGGGTCTTCTAGCAGAATAGAAATGGCTTGTGGTCAATAGAGTATTTTATATAGCAAAGACCATTTGAAAGTTGCTGTATTAATTTTGTGGGTAGTGAATTATGCATTCCTGTGTGCCTTACATGGGCCACACAAAAATTATTTGGATAGTTCTGCACTCATCTCCATTAATGTACATTGTAACAAATGGTGTGATCTGCTTAGAAAACAAGTAGAGTTGAAGTTGGTTGCCTCACTTAATTGCCCTAACAGGTAGAATCGTGAGTCATCTCTCCGGTTTAAATGCTCAACTATCTTTAAAGAAATGGAGAAATAAAATATTTTATTGATTTACATACTTAGCATTTCTGGGGCTTTCTATTCCTTTGTGTAGATCCAGGTCTCCTATGACATATGATTTTCCTCTCACCTATAAATCTTTAACATTTCTTGTAGTTCAGGTCTGCTAACAACAAATTACCTTGGCTTTTGTTTGACTGAAAAAAAAACATTTATTTCACCTTAATTTTTGAAAGACATATTTGCTGGATTATTAGTGCTGCAGGTTGACTTTTTACTTTTCAACACTTTAAAGATGTCATCCCATTGTCCCATGGCTGGTATTTTTTAAAAATATGTGTGTGTTTATTTTTTAGAGAGAGAGGGAAGAAGGAGAGAGAGAGAGAAACATGACTTGCCTTCCATATGCTCCCCAACTGCCCATTCACCACCCACCGACCCAAAGCCTGGGCATCTGCCCTGATTGGATTCAAACTGGTGACCTTTTGGTGCACTGGTCAATGCTCAACCAACTGAGCCATACTGGCCTGGGCTATTTCTGAAGAGAAGTGTTCAGTCTTCCCTGTCTTTGTTTAATTCTACACTAGAGACCCAGTGCATGCAAATCATGCACTGGGGAGGAAGGTTCTCAGCCCAGCCTGTGCCCTCTTGCAGTCCAGGAGCCCTCGGGGGATATCCAACTGACAGCTTAGAGCAGGCCTAAACCAGCAGTAGGACATCCTTCTTGCAGTCCAGGACCCCGCACTCCTTACCGCCCGCCTGCTTGTTGCTCCTTATCACTCAGCTCGCTGTTCCTTAGTGCTGCTGAGGAGGCAGGAGAGGCTCCCACCACCACTGCTGCACTCACCATTGGTGAGCTTGGCTTCTGGCTGAGTGGCACTCCCCCTGTGGGAGCGCACTGACCACCAGGGAGCAGCTCCTACATTGAGCATCTGCCCCCTGGTGGTCTGTGTGCATCACAGTGACCAGCCGTTCCACCATTTGGTTGATTTGCATATTAGGGTTTTATTATATAGGATAGAGGCCTGGTGCATGAATTCGTGCACTGGTGGGGTCCAGCTGGCCCACCCCTGATGGTGGCCATCAGAGTCAGGCCACCTGGGGTGAGGGGCCGTGGGCAGAGCTAGCCAGGGTGAGGAGGTCACAGGCAGTTTGCTGGCCAGCCCAATCAGAGTGGGATGCCCGCTGTGGGGCAGGGCTGACTGGGGGGGAGGGGCTACAGGCATTGTAGTCATTCTGCCATTCGGTCGATTTGCATATTGCCCTTTATTATATAGGATGTGTCCTACTCTACAATTCTTTAAGATTTTTCTATTTATTACTGATTTTCAGCAGTTTTAAGATATTCCTTGAAGTGATTTCTTTGTTTATTCATTTATTCTGCTTAGAATTCTTAGTACTCCTTGGCCCTATAAATTTACAATTTTCACAACATTTGAAACCTTTTTCAGTCATTAGTTTTTCCAATATATTTTATTCCCTACTCTCCTCTGATTTTTCTGGGATTATACTTACATTTTTGTGGGAGGTTTTTTTGAAGGAAAACATATCATTTTTTTATTAAATCTAATAGTTTGGAGTATAATAGTTCATCTTAGTAAAAACAAGTGATTACTTGTTAGACAAAGTATGCAAACAAGGCAATAATCTTTTATTAATTGTTAATGTGTGTTTCTTTTTTTCTCATGTGATCATGAGTCATTAACATTTGGATGTTTGAGTTTGGGAGTTTTAGCTATAGGGAGGCATCATGCAAAACAGAACCCAGAGACAGACACCCTAAAGAGAAGGCTTCATTACTCTACACGAGCTATAAGACATGTGGCAATGCCAGGCCCCACTGAGTGGGTAGCATATGTGGAAGTCTTCATTCTGAATAGATGGCTATATTTTACTGGGACAATTTTAGAAACCTCCCAGCTGCTGGAAGAAACACCTAACCCTAAGGATGTGCAATAGAATGGTGCCTTTGGGTTGCTCTGGCTTTGGATCTTGGCAGACAGTTCCTCGTCAGAAGCCAGAAGGTCAGTGCCCCAGCCCTACAGGTTCCTGGAAAGCTATAGATAAGTGGCTATATTTGCACAGTTCACTCCCTGTACTGCTTTCTTACTGTACCACACACACACATACACATACACACACGATGTGAGGGTAGACCAGAATTGGGTTTTGTTCATGGAGGAGTCTGGGACAGGGGGCAACTGGGGCAGCCAGGTGTTTCTCATCCAAAGAAGAAAAAAAAGAAAATGCTTGTGGCCACTGGAACGCTTGACATTGCCCTACAGGCTGCTGGGTTCAGTTGGTTTTTATTTGTGTCATTTGTTATGTTGTTTATTGCTGGAGAACCATTGTTGTAGCTCAATCTTGGATTTCTGTACTAAACTCGCTGATTTGTTCTAATAGGGTTCCAGTTAATTTTCTTGCATTTTCATGGCAATCATACTGCCATAACTAATAATATTCTGACTCCTTCCAAGCATTTATGACATTTTTCTAGCATTGTTTTGGACAGATTGTCAATAAAAAAAATAAGATGCTGATTCAAATGCTGAAATGTTTAAACATGAAATAAGAAGTTTACTACAACTGGTTGCTATATACTCGTTATCAAGTTAAATTAGTAAGTTTAGAAATTTATCCTATGCTTTTTCTGCATCTATAGATATTATCAGGTTATTTTCTTTTTTAATTTATTAATGTCATAAGCTCATCCTGTGATAGATCACACTATTCTTACTGTAATTTATTATCCTATCTAA